TTAAATGTAATCAGTTTTATTTATATTATTATATGTTATATAAAATTGTAAGTAGATAGAGTGCTTCGTGGAAAGTAAAAAGCTTCTACGAAACTTTGAACCATTACTTTTACCTTTAAGTATCTTTCTAAAATTATAATATTATTGTAGTGTATCTATTCCATTTTAATCGTATAAACGTACCTAGAAATGAAGTCGAGCGAAACTAGGGTGAGCACTAGTATAGAAATAATTTCATTTTAATTTCCATTTAGCAAAACAACCTTCCTTTAACCGTATCCTCGTATATTCATCATTTGATTGTATTGATATACATAATTCTAAGCGACAAATACTAACTTAAAGAACCTATATGTAAATAGGCAAAGACAAAACAGTTCCTACCATATTCTCCTGTTTGTCAATCTATTTTCTTTTTTTTTTTGCTTAGTAGCTTTTGATGAGCTTTAGTGTTATCCACAGAATTGATGCTTTTTTACCTATTCCGTGGTGCTATCAATTAAAAAAAAATTGGAGACTGGTTTTTTCTATAGAGATAAGTAAATGACCACTGAACACTATTTGAACACTGAACATTAATTATTATTCGCTACAAGTAAAGTAGAATAAAGCCTGACTTATTTAAATGTTTAATAGGTAGTAATTTGATTTGATTTAATTTGATTTGGTAACTATTCGGTAGCTCATTTGGTTCTACGACTTTACACAAACTGTCTAATATGAAAACTGCTGTCTATGCGAGACCGGGATTTGAACCCGCTTCACTTTCGGTTTTCCAAGCGAGTGCGTTATCTCTGGGCTATAGCTGATTTTTTTTTATGTACATATTACCTATATCCTAGCTCATATATTTTCCATAATTAAAAAATCTAAAACTATAAAGTAGATGGCGTATATTAAAACCTACATATTTTAGTTACAGAGAAAGAGTGCCAAATAAATTGTCATAAATACTTATGTACATACATACACTCAAAGAAGACAACCATGGTTCAAGGGCAGTTTGTTAAACTACCGCACCACTATTTCATTATTTGCATACTCGTAACATCATACAATGTAACCACAATCGTTTATTTATACAGTTTGCTTGTTTAGCTGATACGAGATATAACAGAATTTATTGCGTATCTATTGCTTCCTTATTTGTCTTTATCATAAAACAACATTTGATATTTCTTGAATTGAAGAAGCGACTCAGAAGCTATTTTTGTTATGAATATGATATTGTAACAAAACTAAAAAACTTGTTATATTTTTTTATTGTCTACCCATTATAGTATCACCGTGCGGGAAACAATATCCGAGCGTAGGACTTCGTACCGTTTTATTTGTAAAATGATTGGATCATTCAATTTCACATAATTTTAATAATAAATACTATGAAAATCAGCCGATTAAATAAATGTTATGACATTATTATTTTATCAAATTCAAAGAAGGGGACGATTTGATCCAAATCATCTGTATTGTAGGACAATATTTTTTTCTTGATTTGTGCTAAATTATTTTTTTTTTTATACCACGTCGGTGGCAACCAGGCATGCGGCCCGCCTGATGGTAAGCGGTTACCGCAGCCTATGGACGCCTGCAACACCTTGGGCATCACATGCGCGTTGCCGACCCTTTAAAAACCTATTTACTCCCCTTTTATTACTAATTATCTCAAGATTAAATCGTACAACAACCTGTTAGTAATAAATTTTAGAAAATCACCATTGCGACATGTTCTGTATCAATCCACAATTATATCTACCACTTTCAAATTTTCGGAGAAAGAAAAGTTGGGCGTCGCGCCAAAATGAAGGTAGTCGTAAAATTTTAGCTTGTTATTAACCATGCTTTCCCTGTTTACGATTCGGACTAATTTTAAGTCTTACAACAAAAATCAAATGATATCTAAATATATCTATTTAAATATTCTAAATATTATATTTATAACGTTGAAATATGAAAAGAAATATTGATATAAACTTAACCTGCTATTTTATTTTGTTTTTTTTTCTAATATATATTTTTTAACATTTTAGCAGACTTTTTTAATGCTGAACCTTAATACTTTCGACTCGGTGAGTCAAAGAAGCTTAAAATATACATATAAAATATTATGTAACAACAATATTTTATTTCGTATATTTTTACCGTCATGCAGATATTTTTGTATTTTTATCATATAGGTAGTAGGTACCTTACAGTTTTCTTTGAAGTCAATTTACTTGAATTTCTTCATGGTTCTTTCCTTATAAATATGTATAGATAATGACTTTGTTTACATTGCTTACTGATTTGTGGTTTTATATAAAGTTTTCAAGAGAATTGTTTATAAGTTGCTCTAGGCTCTTACTTTACTCAAATTCTATCCATTACAGACATTATTTCTTTGTAAAAAATAATCTTAAAATAAATATTTTTGGATTTTTTAAACCCTAAAATATTTATAAACAATATACCTTTCTGTTATTAAAAAAAAATAAAAATTGGAGCCAAACACCACTTCACTAAATTAAGCTGTTAAGGGACATCCGTTTATTTATTTTCTTTCGCCTGGCAATAGCGGCTTTTCCAATAAGAGTATATTTTTTTAGTCTATAATTACTAAAAAAAATCACTTTACTGTTTCGCTGGGGCCGTTTGGGAGTCACCCGTTATTAAAGAACTAAACTAATAAAAACTATCGCCTTTTTCTTCACAAATATAAGTTTTTCAAGAAATATTCTACAACACAACAAACTAACGTGCAACTTCGATCTTGTTATCACATTATTTAATTAAATTAAATTTAAACACCTACCTGCTTACAAAATTTCAAAATAATCTATATAGGTACATATAACAAGAATAAAACTACGATGATATTATATATATTTAAGCAAGGTAACTTACTAAACAATGCAAAAACTATTAAAAATAGCTTATCTTAAAAAAACAATAGTGTTATTTTCTTTGGTTTTTGGTCATCTGAACGCGGGTAAAGCCGTGGGCAATGCTAGTATGTTATACATTTGTACCTAATGATCTTCTTTCATCTCAGATTCATTTAGATTATTTCTACAGCTGGAGAATCGACTCCATAACATCCATCTCATAGTTACAGACTGCCTTGAAATAATTTAATTTAGTACAATAATAAAAAATATCCCACAAGCCAAACCCTTATAATATTTTTTCGCCGTCCAAACGTATTCATTTGGTCAAGCTTATTAAATAAAGACCGTCCCTAACATCTGGGGCGCAGACTTTAAGATATTAATATTCTTACAGATGGTATTAGGAAAAAAGATCTTTACAGGACTGAATGCTTTTATAAATAAACTAGCATTACCCGCGGCTCGGACCGCGTTCAGGTGACCAAAAACCAAATTCTTAGGTTTCACATATTAGTATACTTTTACATTGCAGTTTATGTAGTTTTTCTCAGAAATGAGATATTTTCCTGTGGTATAAAGTATCCTACCAACCAGCTATCTATATGTATAGATATCGATTTAATAATATGTAATCTCAGCCTAACGATTTATATAGACGGAGTCCACCCAAAACACCTCAAAGTCACCATAGTAACGTAATTATGCTGTTTATACTACTATTCTAATTAACTATTCTAATTACTATTCTATTCTAACTGCCTCGGTGGTGTAGTGGCTAGCATGTACGGCTGCACACCCGGAGGTCCTGGGTTCGAGTCCCGGGTCGGGCCAAGTTTAGTTATTGAGTCTTTCTGTATAGTAAGTCTCAGTAACAGCCCGGAGTTGGGAAGTTGGTGGTGTTTCACCCCCGTGCCTCGGAGAGCACGTAAAGCTGTCGGTCCTGCACCTTAACTCTCACCGGTCGTGTCGTACAGTCGTCCCACCGGAGTATGAGAGTGACAGGAATAGAGAGTGCACTTGTGTCTGCGCGTACACTTGTGCACTATAATATCTCCTGCGCAGTTGGCTAATCTCATTGAGATTGGCCGCCGTGGCCGGAATCGGCTAGGAGAACATCATCATCACTACTATTCTCGATTTTGTTACACAGATTGTTTACTTTATTTAAATAATAAAGGTTTTTATATAGATATTAGTCGTTGGTTACAATTTAAATCTATACTAATATTATAATGGTGAAAGTTTGTAAGTATGGATGTATGGATGTTTGTTCCACTTTCATGCCAGAACAGATGAACGGATCTGGGTGAAATTTGACACAGAAAAAGATTATATTCTGGAATAACACATAGGCTAATTTTTATCCCGAAAAAATGTACAGTTCCCGAGGGATAGATTTGATTTTATTTATTATAATAAAATCTATCAGATATTTTTATTTATTAACATTTATTTACGTGTCACAGAAATGAGTATTCTATTAATATTTGTATTCTGTTTTAACACAATTGTTTGGCTTCATATTTAGTTCTATAAAGCTCTGGTATAGTTACCATACCCTTAGTTCTATAAACACTGGTATAGTTAAATTAAGCTAAATCTATCAAACTAATGTTTTAAATACTAATGTTTGTAAGTGTGTGTGTGTGTATGTTTTTTTAGAGAATCTCAGAATTATAAAGCTGTTATTTAGCATGGATGTACATATTAGTCACGACGACAAAGTGGTAAAATAAAATCTTGAAAAAAATACAACAATTTTTTGATGTTATTTCTCATCAACCCCATGGTGTGGAGTGTCGGTCTTTTAAAAAAATGCTGATTTGTTATTTATAGAGTTTTGCAAACTAATTTTGACTTGATAATATAGATCTCTTTAACAGAAATCGGATTGATTTACTAGTTGCTTTCACTTAATCCACAAAAGACCCTAAATGATGCTAATTCTTATCATCTTTAGTATCATTCTAAATCAGGTCTACGTCAGATCTACCTTCTAAGTACACCACTCTTCACTCTCCTAAGTACACATTATTCATATAAAAATATACATATAAAATAAAAACAACATTTGAAGTAGCCCTATTTATGTTTATTTACCGACAAATATTGAAGAAACATTTTTGTTCCCAGGTCCTGTAGCAGCCTCCTCGCTACTCATCACGCTTTGCGCAGTACTCACTGTTTCGAAGATCTTGAGGTATTATACCTATTATATAAAATTATAAAACTAATAATAAATAAACAATAAAAAAAAGTATTTATTGCCATAAAAAAGAGTAAAAAAAGTTAACAGAATCAGTAAAGCTTAAAGTAACTTACGGTAAAGGGTAATAACTCAGCTAATGCTGCTAAGACCGAAATCTCAAGCAGCGATGATGATGATGAAAAACTATGCTTGTTACTCTTTCATTCAAAAACCACTAAACGAATTTTAATAAAACTTTATAGCTTATACATCAAATTAACACATAATAATATAAAAAGATATACAAATACATAATTGAACTACACGCGCGGAGACACGAGAAAACGCTAGTTATACCTAATAGAATTTTAGAAATAAAATACCATTGAATGAACTAATTTAAAAAAAACATTATATGTAATAAATAGTCCCCATAAAATGTATATCTATTCGTAAAACTTTAATAAAAACGGTAACGTTTGATCATTAAATTCTGTTTAGTCAAAGCAAGTGAATTTTTGAGGGCAAATTAATAACAAGTTTTATAACGTTTGTCAGGTGGTGCGTCAAATGAAAATCTTTACAGGGCAAAAAATGTTTTAAGGCTTATGTACATGATGACGTTTTAGAGAGCTGTCCACGCATATCCGAAACGCGTGAGATGCGTAGTGAAAGCACCGACGGTGCGTGCTTGTCTCGCGTTTCTATCGATATGAATTCAAGCTGTAATCTGCATTTTTCAAATTTATTGGCGCGAATATAGGCAGATAATGTACATTCATGATATGCGCGTCGTCAGCGAGATTATGAAACGTATTGTGCGCATGAAGTTTATGAGCGCAAAATACGCGCGTTCGTAATACACACGTACGACTGCGTCTTTAAAGTTATTGTGTAAATAGGCACTTATAATTTTATAATGATTTTAAAACAATGAAAAATCGTACAAATTTGAGAATGTATAAAATAATTTTAAGGTTTTTTTTTATTTGTTTCAGAGTGCTCCTACGATGATGACTAGCCTGCGATTAGGCGTGTGTACATAGAAATATTTAATGAATGATTTGTATAAGTGATTTGACGTCACTATTGTTTATTTTGTATTCTAGATCTACTTTATTTAATGTCATTTTAATTTAAGCCAACAATACTATCTTGATTAAGTATCTCAAGGGTGGTTTGTTCTGTAGCCATATATATTGTAGAAACTTGCAAAATTATTAAAATAAATAAGTACGAGCGATTGAGTGAGAAAGTAAAATTAAAGTTTTAATAAATAAAAATAAAATTTGAAGATCCTTTCATATAATTAAAAGTAGCTTTTTAGTGGATTTTGTATATAATTGCATATATAATTTATTTTATCTCATAAAAATTTAACGTACGTTTTTCCTATTATTGCCTAAGATTCGTTATATACTTATGAAGAAGACAATCTTCACCCACCACGCAATTTCAAGTGGGTGAACTTTGATTTACTTATTGCTATTCACTTACCGTTTCCTACAACGAATAAAAATTATTACTAGATCAACTATAATATCTTCCCAGTCGAAGTATAAAAGATTGTAGCTAAGTTTATTAAAAAGAATAATTCTTTTGTAAATAACTATGTAACATAAAACTATAGTATATTAAAATTTAATGTAAAATAAATTAAATGTTCTTGTCATGTGATGTGTAGAAAATAAATGTAGAGAAATTCTTTATTAAATGTATTAATTAATAATACAATTGACTACATAAAAAGCTATAAAAATAATGAATAGCAAAGTATTAACTTATACTTTAGATAGTATACATTTTTTATGTAATCGATTGTACTGTTTTTTTTTCTATAGTGGAATAAACATTGGTAATTGTAAAAGATCAAGTTTTATTTGAAAATGTATGAATAATGAATAATATGTATAATTAAAATTTATTAGATATAGCCATTTATTGAGAACAATCAATAATCTCAAAGCTGACATCAGTTAATACTGTTTCTACGTTCAAATTTAGTTAACTTCTTCATGTCAGGCACATTCTATAATAATGCTCTCTAAATTCTTTTTAGACAATCATATTAATTTATTAGCATTTTTGCAGATGAGTAATTTATAAAACTAAAAACGTACTATTTTCATCACCTAGTAGTATTGTGTTATTAGAACGAATTGACTTATACACTTTTACTTTTTTTTTACTTTTTACGTTACGCTAGGGCCCGCAAATTTACTATAAAAGGGATCGAAAACAAATTTTATTTAAAATAACAGCGACGCGTCCCTAGGTACGTTCTAATTTTTTTGACCGTACCCCTAATTCTTTTTCTAAAATAAATGTAGTCTAAGTTACTCCTTATAATATCAGCTATCTGCCAGTGAAAGTCCCGTCAAAACCAGTCCAGTCGTTTCAGAGATTAGCTAGGAGAAACAGACAGACAAATAGACAAAAAAAATAATAATTGTTTTTCTTATAATTACCGTATATAATTTCATATGTACTTAGTAAAAAGCTGTTATTTTGACATTTGACAGATAATTCAATTTTATTTATTTGTATAGATTAACTTTTTTAAATCAAATAAAATAATGACTAATGATGTTTAACTAAGGCTATGGGTGCGATATCCATAAATTTAGTTAAGACTAAATGTAACAATAGCGTGTGATGGATATTGTTATCAAAAGATACACACTATATAAACAATGTAACAAAAAACAATAAAGAAAAATAAATTAAAAATCTGTTTCATACGCTTATATATATTACTAGGTGAGCAATATAGTATATCTCTACAATTTTGTTCAGTGAAGTTACACTATTCTTAACCACTCAGTACCTAATAAATCCATAATTCCTTCGACAAGTTTATGAAACTCGGCTAATATATATGTAATTCTAATTGTGCTACTTTAACAATTATCTTTTAACGTTAAAAATCTGTACAAAGTTTAGCATTTAATGCTGTATTTAGAATAAAAATGAGCCAAATTATGAAAGGCGATATTACTGTTATACTAAGAAGTAGACAATATTTAAAGTAATGCATTAAAATCAAGCAAGATTCCGAAAGTGTAAAAATATGAAGTTATTAGAGATTATTGTTTATATTTAATTAATTTATTTCTTTATGATAACCCTTAGATTTAATATTTAATTTATTAAAATACAAATTTTATACGAAGACGATTTCTGCTTTCTATTGTTTTGCTCAATGATATTGCGAATTTATTTTGTTTTGAAAATGTTAAATAAACTATTGGAAAGATTTGTGTTTTTTTTTTCAAATAACGATATTATCTTACCCTAAACTACCACCTCGGTCTATATTAGAAGGTGCGGTGAAGCGCCTTGGGAACAATATCAACGCCCTCTGTATCAATAATGATGACTATTAGAAGAATATTTCTCCAAAAAATGTTTAATGTTACACATATGAGTAAGCCCCCTCTGTTGTGTAGTGGCTAGTAAATATGACTGCACATCAGGAGGTCCTGGGTTCGAGTCCCGGATTGGGCCAAGTATAGTTATTGTGTCTTTCCGTTAATAAGTTAATTTTTAAGTATAGTCTTTAATATAACTTAAAGTTTTAAGATATTTTTATAAAATATGAAGAATGTTGTGTTCTCCTATGATTGTGAGTGAATATAGATTAAGTTTTGTTAATGTATTAGTGTAAGTTTTTTGTGTACTAACGTTTGACATCCTAATAAAATAAATAAATAAATAAGTCTCAGTAACAGCTGGAGTTGGAAAGTTGGCGGTGTTTCACCTCCGTGTCGGAGAGCACGTAAAGCCGTCGGTCCTACGCCTTAGCTTTCACCGGTCGTGTCGAGCAGTCGTCCCACCGGAGTATAAGAGTGACAGGAATAGAGAGTGCACTCGTGTCTGCGCGTACACTTGTGCACTATAATGTCTCCTGCGCAGTTGGCTAGTCTCAATGAGACTAGCTGCCGTGGCCGATGTTGTGATAGAAAAAGTACAAGATCACAATTAGCGACAAAAAAATCCTTACCGAATGAGCGCTCAGTTGAACTTCTGAGCGCGCTTTTAATTTAATTTTTTTGTGTTAAAAAAAAATGTATTAAAAATAATTAAAAGCCTTAAGCATTGCATTTAAAGTTCAATTTACATTGTTCTATATTTATTTCAACTAGAATAATTACCTAAACATAATTGGTGACAGTTTTAAGAGAACTTGTGCATAGGATTGTGTATCTAGTACTTTTTTGATCGATGATCCATGTTTTATGTAACCACTCAAGCTGGCATTCAAATTAAACTAAAAGGAAGAGGAAGGAATGTTTAGAGATAGCTTACAGAATTTGACTCTCTTCTACTTCAAGATATATTTAGATATTTAAACAAATGCGAATCATAAAGTCGTTATACCATATAAAAAAGTAAATATTATTCATTGGATAAAGGTATTTTACACATTTACGACTTAGTAGAAATTCATAATATGATTCACAAGACTCATCCATTTAAGATCATTCACGCAAAATAGACAGTATTTCATTTTGTTTATAACAAATCTAAAGACTTTGTCAGCAAACAAAATCAAAGTTATGGAGCTTGCGCCTATTCCAATGTTTATAGCAAACTTCGCCTACATGACCAAAGTTAAACATTAAGATAAAGTATGTTTGATGTACCAAACTCATATAGACAAATAATTTTGTTTTTATAAAATGAGTAAAAAAATATATATTAGTCAATAAATATATAGTATATATTAGTCGAGTGCATTTAGTAATAGCAAAAATTTGAATGTTTTTTTTTTAGTTGTTTGAGTTTTTAAAACCTTAAACTAAACAGTTTATCCATTAAAAATTACTGCTTTTGAAAATACGGTTACTTAAAAAAATCAAAGTTTCTAGAAATCTCCACAAAAAAAAACAATTATCGGAATTTTTGTAATATTTTAAGAAAATAATAACTGTTATAGTTTTTGAGTTTGTTTATCCAAGATTTTTTAAAAACTTTATGTAAGTAACGTACTATCTTTCGTGCGTGTTGACTTTTTCATTATAATTTATTAAGTGACGTAACAAAGACTATATATATAGGTCTTAATAAGACCTAACGAAAATCTGCAATAGCATATGTCTTTCTCCTAAGATACACTTGCAATAACCATTCATATCTATAACGTACTCGTAACTAGGGACGCTCTCGAGCAAAGCGAGGTTAAGTCACTATATTTTATATAGAAACTGAGTTATTCTCGAAATAAAAAATAAATACAGCCGTAAAAGGAGTTAATCTAATCTATTTATAAAATGCTTAAGTAATCTATGCTAAGTTAATCTATACATATAATAAAATTGTAACTAAACGGAATCTGAACATTAGATATTTTTGGAAAATCTTATTGAAATAAACATTATCATCGATACAGAGGCCGCATATATAGTTTTTAGAATTTTTGTCTGTCTGCCTGTTACCGCATCACAGAAAAACCACAGGAGGGATTTTGATGAAATTTGGTACGGTGATAGCTGGTTATCCGGGTCAACATATAGGATACTTTTTACCGCGGGAGAACGTCTCATTTCTGAAAAAAAATACATAACTGCAATGTAAGAGTATACTATTAGTATACTCTTACATTGCAGTTTTTGTATAATATGTAAAACCTAAGAATTTGGTTTTTGGTCATCTGAACGCGGGCGGAGCCGCGGGCAATGCTAGTCTACTTATAAAATGCTTGAGTTTCTAGGTAATAACTAGGTGTTGACATTTTTATATTTCCCTTTCATAGAATCTACAAATTTCATTATGGCCATATACGTACCTGATCGCATATACGGCGGAACATATTGCAACTCTTCTATTAGCATATTTCCGAAGTGATATTTCTTTGTCGATTACTTTATCCGAGTAACATGATGTACAATTTGTCTGTCTTTCATCCTTCGTATCTTCTTCTTGGTCTTCTGTTTGTTTGTTGTTAACTTGCTAATACAACTATTACTTTTGCGTTTTTTCTTAAGCGGTCTTCGATCAACAATACTCGA